AGAATCTGTGGTATCTTTCATCTCAAGCTCACCAGGATATATCGTATCGACATAGGAATGGAAATTACCATTGTTAAATTGACAATACGTCGTTGATATACTAGTATCTAAATGTCGTGTTTAAGGCCACAGCAAGCATTTTCTTCTTTTCACGCATAAGATTTTTTAGTATCCACATCTGATTCACACCACTTCTTGAACGTATTGTTGCACAGTACTTTTAAAGTTTCTCCTTCACTACTCTTAATATTTTATAATTAGTGAGGAGTAAAAAAAAGAGACTTGGTTGAACATTTACTGGAACCCGCAATGTACATGTATCTGTTTTTAAGGATTCTTAAGAATTTCGGAATCCAATATACATATATGGTATTATAAATCATTTTGGTTTGGGATATAAAAAATATTCAAAACTGACATATTATTTTGGATAATTGCTTCCTTTGAAAGGAGACTGTGAGTATAAGTTGGATTACTACTTGTAGTAAATCCAAGTTCTTCTAAAATACAATTTTTATAGTGAGCCTTACAAACAAAGATCATGTTGTTACCTACTTTGTCAGCAAGGACCAATACGTACTCATCATGTATTCATCCAATTCTTTTTTTTTTCACTTCTGGATTATTGAAGTTAGAAGGATAGATGGTTTTCATATTGCCCCTCAATCTTTTAATAAATGATTTCAGCATGGTTCTGATACATTTAATCATTCTCACAAAGTGTAAACGTCTTCTTTTTCATACCTGGCTCGTCTGGAGTAATCTTCATAATCCATAATGTTTATGAAATTCCGACGCCAGTTGAAGAATCGGGGTTGCCTATGTTCAGGACCTTTTAAAATAAGTGATATAAGTTCCTCATTTTACTTTTACGTCTTATATGAATTCTAATTACTTTGGTATTTAAGGTGGAATGCCACACCAACTTTTTATTTTATAGATCTTTGAGTCGTCCTTTTTAATCAATGGTTTCAGAATTGAAAGGCCGATATTAGCTCTTAATTATTTTATATGAATTTTTTTTTTTTGTATTTTTTCAAAGAAAGTGAAAAACATTATTTATCTCCAAATAAGTTGTTTTCGAGTTAAAAGTTTGCTGTAAATGAATGCATTATATGAATATCTTATAACATATGTAAAGAAAGGCTGGTAAGACTTTTTAATTTTTTTTTTTTATAAAAAATTATTTTTGAAAATAAAACACATTATTTGTGAATATTTTTAAACCTATGGTTAAAAACACCATAAAACTAGTCAAAACTGAGGACAACATGTTTGTCAATCATATTTTAAAAAGAAATTGAATCGAAATTGAGAAATTTTAGACAAATTAATTTTTTTAATATTTGGACCTAACCCGGTCAAAATTAACACAAAATGAATAAAATGCTAATTTATTGCCTCTTCAGGTGTTTACAATGAAGAAATATATTTTATTGTCAAGTTTAATAATGTTTTAACCCTTATCACACCTAATCAGACTAATGCTCTTGGGAAAATGTTATTTATTTCCAATAATTGTACAATTATGGTTAAATTTTGATCGGGATTGGCCAAAATTAAAAAAAAATTAATTTCTCTAAAATTTGGCCATTTCGTTTCAATTTCTTTCATAAATATGATTAATGAACATGTTCTCCCCAGTTGTGACTGGCTTTAAGAAGATTTTATCCACCAGTTTAAAAAATATTCACAAATGATCTGTTTTATTTTCATAAATATTTTTTTATTTAAAAATTTTTAATATCTTTACGGCTTCTCTTTACATATTGTATTAGGTATTCGTGTGATGCATTCATTTACAGAAAACTTTTACAACAAAGCATCTAATTTGGATGTAAATATTTTTTTTTCATTTTCTTTGAAAAAATACAAAAAAATTCCTATAAAATAATTGAGAGCTAATGTCGGTATTTCAATGCTGAAACCATTCTTTAAAAAGGTTGACTCAGAGATCTATAAAATAAAAAGTTGGGTGTCACTCCTCCTTAAGGTCAAGATCTAGTAAATAACTTTAGACTAACTTTTTGGTGCTAGATCCATTATGACGTCATAATCACTTTCAACTTTCTTTTTCCCGTACTTTACGGCTCTAATAGAATTATGTAGAAAATAAAGTATTTTCATGGAATTCAATTTGAAATAACCTGAAAAGTAGTCCGGATACCTATATTCAATTTAACATTATTTAAAAGAAGAGACCAAGAACATACAAATTACCGTTTTCTGAAAGACTGTAGGCAATCTGGATATATTTTGTTTGTGTGATATGGAAAAAACTCCCATATTCATGACTAATTTTCTTAATTTTTCATTGAAAATGACAGTTTAAAATATGGTTTTTCATCTTATTTTTCTACAAATTATGCCCCGAAACACATTTTTTGACCAAGCTAAAGTTATTAAGCATCATTAAAGGAATTCATTTCTTGAATTTGATAAATCTGTAGGCACCCTTCATTTACTAGATCTTGACCTTAATGCAACTTTTGTAAAATTATTTTGTTATTCTTTTATTAGTAATAAATTTCTCGAACAAGTCTGGCATTGATTTAGAATGTTAAATTTTTCAACATTTGAGCTGAACAGGAAGAACATGAGTGGGTTACCAGTTAAAATATGACGTCACTAACTCAATGAATCTGGCGATACGTAAGTTCAATTGAACTTATAATAGGGACAAAGTTCAAATACTTTTAACAAATGCAATTCAAAACTAGACGCTTTAAAGCAAAACGGCAGGAAAGATGATTAAAAAGAAGCGAGAGGTTAAAAAAGATTTGCAGATAAACTGAAACTGCGTGCTGTTCTAGAGTGACGTCATAACTACGTAAGTAACGTACTTCCTGTGCAGAGGAGTTCACGCTTGGTTTTGCATCGACCCTCATAGACATTTATACTTCATTGTACAGAATTAATGAACACATAAAGTCTAATAAAACTCAATAAAGTTTTAATTCCAAGAACACAGAAAAGGGTATAACGCAAGCAGCCATTTAAAAGAAAACCCTAATTTAAAATATATTAGGGAACTTATCTAATTTTGGAGCAATTTTTATACACAAATAAACATAAGTAATATGGTTCATACATACTTTACTCCAAGCTATACATAACTTACATCTATTTCAATAAATAAACTGAGACAGGAATACAAAATTGCACGTGTTGTGTAAGGAACAAGGTATGGTCAGAGCTCTCCGTCTCCTGTTCAAGCTTAGGGGAAAAACCTTAAATATTAATTAAACACTCGTATGACAATGATTTAACATGCATACACTGTTATACAGCCAATGTTAAGGTCTATAGAAGTTTATCTTTAGTCACCTGTTCATATTCCTTTCTTTTTAACCCCCCCCCCCACCCACCCATTTTAACCATGGGTCTGACCTTCTTAGACTTTACAAGGTCAAGGACACTCCATTATACTGTGTGATATCACACTTTTCTGTTTTTACAACATTCTTTCTGCTTTAATTTGATGTGAAAATGCAGATACATGTTCTTGCCAAATTATGTTTGAATTTGATTGAGTTTTATATTTGCAGTCTACATATGTTTAAATTTTTTTTCTGTTAAAGTATAAGTTGTTTCCCTTCCATTTTAGAAGTATGTGAAAGTATGTACGAGACAATAATAAAGTGAAAGTCTAAGAATTAGTAGAAATATTATACAGGATATTTATCATAATTATTCCTATTTCACACAGGGAACATAGAGAAAATATGTAGGAGGGGACTTGGAGAGTAAGAATGCTACTTGTGAAAAAAAAATTCTTTTAAAAGTTAAAAAATGACTAACATTGCTCCTATACATTATAATTATGCGAAAATTGCTGTAGTTAGTGTATATAATAATTTCTCTCCATAAAAGTTTGGTTTTGAATCTACCAAATGTCTAAGATAACTTTTACAATGTTTTATATCTAAACTATAGGGCCTAACTGAGCTCTAACCATACCTTAATTTGTCTTTAGACAATGCTGAAAGTTATGAATGCTTCTGGAAAAAAGGGCTGTTGAACTTGACGAGAATTAACAATGTAAAACTCTGTACATATGTAGACATCCACCAATTGCACTTAGTCTAATACAGAATAGAAAAATGACTCCATCGCATTCTTAGTAAAAACAGACATACGTAATATAAATGATGTACTTATAAGGGAGCTTCTCCATACTCCATTGTACAATGTTAAATCCATACATATTACACAAAGTTAGGGACTAGACTGAAAATGGAATAATAAAAAACAAGCAAGGTAATGAAAATTAAAAGCCAATAACAAAATTAACAAACTAGTAACAGCACATAGGAGACACTTCAAAGGGGCTCGCAAACTTGGACTATTAAACACTTTTTAAGTTCAAAACTAGAATGTGTTATATGTCATATGCTCTTCAGGTTTATCATTTCTCAAAGACAATTTTTATATTGAAATTCATAAAGCAGTAAACCTTAAATCTGTTGTCCTGTCTTTACTGAAAACATCAATAATAAAACAGTTATCAGTGTGTCTGATAAGGCCATTTCAAGTTTTTCTTTTTTCAGCATCTGCATGCATCTTGGATTTTGACACTCCATAAGTGTGAAAAAAAAAATCAGGAGTCCTGAAATTGATTACTGTATAAGTAGAATTTTTAACGAGAATTTAATTTTGGCATTATTAGCGAGGGTGCCAAGATCGCTAAAATTTAATATCGCTAAAAATAAATTGCACATTATTTGTTATAGTCTCTTTAGTGTGCATTTAGAAATTGCTAATATAACACCTCGCTAAAATTAAATTACCAGTTTTTAAGGACAAATCGCTAAATTTGCATCTCGCTAAAATTTCCACTTATACAGTATTTTGTTTGAAATGTTAATTTCAAACAAATGTTGATCTGTTAATTTCTCTACAATTCTGTGTACATGAAATATTTGTGTGTATTCAAAAGAATTCAATACCTTGATTTTGATTTTTTAAAAAAATAGTTCTATTAAAACAGTTTTATTAAAGAAGAAGAATGATTCTTAATAGAGAAAAACTTGGCATGGTCTAATTCAAAAAAAAAATCTTACCTACCCACCTCAAAAAATGTGGATAAGAGTTCATCAATAAAGAAAAATTTAAATGGCCTCACCAGTAGGGTCAGGTAGTCAACCGTTAAAAAAAGGTGTCAAACTACTTCAAAATCTCAGTAGTTAATTTTTGATTAAAATTTGTCATTGCGTTTACCAAAAGAAAATGTTCATTGACATCACAATGTTGGGAGGAACTTTTTTCTGATCAAGTTTTACTATCTTAAAAAAGATTTTCAAAAGCAAATATGGTCTTTATGTTTTACCATTATATATTCAATCTGCAATATGTTTAGTGACACATTATTAGCATATAGAAAAGTGAATTTTACATTCATAAAAGCAAATGGATAGCTCTGAAAATCAATATGGTTAAGGTAAACCATTTACAAGAAATTATCTCACAACTTAAGTTTTCTGAACACATCCTTTTCCATAAAAACTAAGGATTAAAATACTAAAAAGATTATGCTTTGTATAAGATGTTCTGAAGAAAATAACAAAATTCAGGAAAATTTGAAAATACCTGAGTGTAAATTTTCAACCTAAATACTCTGCCTGGTCCAAAAATAAAACCGATCTCAAAGCAGTGTCAAAAATGTGCATAGTAATCCGACGTGTGTGTCTTGATTATAATTAATTGATTTTAATTAATTAATTAAATATCTGCTTCTCTATGATGATGTGTTAAGGCAAGGTTTCTAGATTGGACCCTCTACTCCCATTGTTATGAAGTTAAAAATAGTAACATTAATTGCTAAATAGTGCAAAGTATATTAATCATGTTAATGCTTGTGTTAGTGTATGGGAGGTAATAAATATTCTAAACCTGATCTAGCGTCCATGGATGTACATTTCTCATAAATTTTATCTATGAAGAATGAAGGAACCTAGCAAAAAATCCTATATGTAGGGACATGGAAAGTTTCTTAGTTTATCTCGTTCTCTTCAACAAAAGTGTAAAAAAAAAAAACTTGAGGCAAAAAACTGCAATCTGAGTGACATGTACAACATTGTTATTCATCAAAAAAAAGTTTAGGCAACAACAGATTATACAAATGATCATTACACCCCTGTATGATCCTTGCCTCACATTTGAAAAACCTTTTTGATTCCACACAAATTTGTCCCTTTAAAAATCAAGGGTTAATTTAAACATACAATGTATAAGAAAAAAATTTCAAGAAGTTCACAACAACTACATACAATGACCACAGATACCGACTTTCTCTCACATAATGTGCATTAAATTTAAGTTTCTCAATCAATACACCAATATATAAAACAAAAACAAATATTGCGATGTGTCGGGTGACGTGGATTTAGCTGCTTGTTGGATCGGAGGATTTCCTGACGCTAGGATCCTTTGTCACCGTAATTATGCTCTACGACAAAAAAGCAGTACTCGGAGCCGCAAATTTCTCCGTCGCTGTCCTTCCGCGGCGCCATTTCCTCCATGGTGATGTCGCCCTCCGCCATGGAGACGTCGGTGATCGTGTCACTATGGATGATGTCACGAGTTATAGTCACACTCGGCGTTGGCAATGGTTCCGAGGCCGGGGACTCGCTCCGATCTGAAAACACACTATCAGCGTCGGAGGAAGCAAAGTCCAGGGCCGTACCCTCCGACGACGCTTTAGTCACAGAATTCCCGGACATTTTTTTGTGAAGTTTTTCTGTGTTGTAAGAAGCTCTGGAGTCCGAATGAGAACTTTGATCGGGTGATAATGGTAATGACCCCTGATTGTTGGTGTTTGGTCCTAAGAACCAGTCTGAACGCTGGCGCAGTCTCTCCAATTGTTTACGCTTCACTGAATTAAATCGGCTCAAGCTCGGCCGAGGCTGTAGTGGCTCATCCACATCATTCAAGTTGTCCTCCAGCGACTTTGGTCTCTGAGGAAAAAAATCATAAAATCACTGTGTTTCACACTTACAATGAAAAACAAGAGGCCCATGGGCCACATCGCTCACCTGAGCACCAAGGGTAGGACTAGTATAAAATGGCTTTTTATTGTAAAGTTTAAATCCAAAAGTAGTCCCATGACCAATCATGGATTTGCTATTTTTTTAGAAAATGATTGAGAAGAAGATTTTTAAAGAATTTTCCTATATATTTCTATGTAAAACTTTGGTCGGCCATTTTGGCCCCGCCCTACCCCTGGGGGTCATGATTTGAACAAAATTGAATCTACACTACCTGAACATGCTTCCATATAAATATGATGAATAATGGCTTTGTCATTCTTGAGAAGAAGATTTTTAAAGAATTTTCCTATATATCTCTATGTAAAACCTTGGTCGGCCATTTTGGCCCCGCCCTACCCCCGGGGGTCATGATTTGAACAAAATTGAATCTACACTACCTGAGCATGCTTCCATATATATGAAGAATTATGGCTTTGTCATTCTTCAGAAGAAGATTTTTAAAGAATTTTCCTATATATTTCTATGTAAACTTTGGTCGGCCATTTTGGCCCCGCCCTACCCCCCCGGGTCATGATTTGAACACACTTGAATCTACACTACCTGAGCATGCTTCCACATAAATATGATGAATTATGGCTTTGTCATTCTTAAAAAGAAGATTTTTAAAGAATTTTCCTATATATTTCTATGTAAAACCTTGGTCGGCCATTTTGGCCCCGCCCTACCCCCGGGGGTCATGATTTGAACAAACTTGAATCTACACTACCTGAGCATGCTTCCATATAAATATGATGAATTATGGCTTTGTCATTCTTGAGAAGAAGATTTTTAAAGAATTTTCCTATATATCTCTATGTAAAACTTTGGTCGGCCATTTTGGCCCCGCCCTACCCCCGGGGGTCATGATTTGAACAAATTTGAATCTACACTACATGAGCATGTTTCCATATAAATATGATGAATTATGGGTTTGTCATTCTTGAGAAGAAGATTTTTAAAGAATTTTCCTATATATTTCTATGTAAAACTTTGGTCGGCCATTTTGGCCCCGCCCTACCCCCGGGGGTCATGATTTGAACACACTTGAATCTACACTACCTGAGCATGCTTCCATATAAATATGATGAATTATGGCTTTGTCATTCTTGAGAAGAAGATTTTTAAAGAATTTTCCTATATATTTCTATGTAAAACTTCGGTCGGCCATTTTGGCCCCGCTCTACCCCCGGGGGTCATGATTTGAACAAATTGAATCTACACTACCTGAGCATGCTTCCATATAAATATGATGAATTATGGCTTTGTCATTCTTGAGAAGAAGATTTTTAAAGAATTTACCTATATATTTCTATGTAAAACTTCGGTCGGCCATTTTGTCCCCCTCTACCCCCGGGGGTCATGATTTGAACAAAATTGAATCTACACTACCTGAGCATGCTTCCATATTAATATGATGAATTATGGCTTTGTCATTCTTGAGAAGAAGATTTTTAAAGAATTTACCTATATATTTCTATGTAAAACATTGGTCGGCCATTTTGGCCCCGCCCTACCCCCGGGGGTCATGATTTGAACAAACTTGAATCTACACTACCTGAGCATGCTTCCATATAAATATGATGAATTATGGCTTTGTCATTCTTCAGAAGAAGATTTTTAAAGAATTTTCCTATATATTTCTATGTAAAACTTTGGTCGGCCATTTTGGCCCCGCCCTACCCCCGGAGGTCATGATTTGAACAAACTTGAATCTATACTACCTGAGGATGTTTCCCCATAAGTTTCATCTTTCCTGGCACAGTGGTTCTTGAGAAGAAGATTTTTAAAATATACCACTAAATTTTCATTAATTCCAAATTATCTCCCCTTGAATAAGGGCGTGGCCCTACATTTGAACAAACTTGAGTCCCCTTCACCCAAGGATACTTTGTGGCAAGTTTGGTTGAAATTAGCCCAGCGGTTCTTGAGAAGAAGTCGAAAATGTTAAAAGTTTACAGACAGACGGACAGACGGACAGATGGACAGCTAGACAGACGGACAGAGGGACGCCGGACAAAATGTGATCAGAAAAGCTCACTTGAGCCTTCGGCTCAGGTGAGCTAAAAAACTCATCAACTAAATAATCTAATCGTTCAGAACTTTTGATAATTACTGGAATATCATTAGCATATTCCCATTTTAAAATCATGCTAATATCAGTGATATTAGTGTTTTATAAAATTTTTAACTTACTTATCCATTTGAAAGCAGATTTTGGCCTACTTTTCTTGGGTTAAAAAGATTTTGACCTACTTTTCTCATGAAATGATTTTGACATACCTTAAGCATAAAAACCTGATTTTTTAACCTACTTTACTGATGGAAAACAGAGACCTACTTTACTGCTATATAAAGTATATTATTAAACCCTTGACCTACTTTAAGGTTACAGAAATCCTATATTTATCCTTTTTGATGGAGATTTTGACTTATTTAATGGAGGGAAACGGATTTAGAAACAGATTTGATCTTCATTACTGATGGAGGTTTGACCTACATCACTGATGGAGCTTTGACCTACATTACTGATGGAGCTTTGACCTACTTTACTGCAGCTTTGACCTACATTACTGATGGAGGTTTGACCTACATTACTGATGGAGCTTTGACCTACTTTACTGCAGCTTTGACCTACATTACTGATGGAGGTTTGATCTACTTTACTGATGGAGGTTTGACCTACTTTACTGATGGAGGTTTGACCTACTTTACTGATGGAGGTTTGACCTACTTTACTAATGGAGGTTTGACCTACTTTACTGATGACTCCGGGGGAGGGTACAAGGGACACTTCGGGGGCTGAGATGGTGGATGCCGCGAGTTGTCGTGTGGCTGATTCTCCGTCGCCGCGGGGACTGAGATAATGACGTAAATCGGGAGACTGGTCCACCATCTCCATCACTTCCTCCTCGTGGTCTTGTCTCCGTGACGATTCGTAAAAGCCTTCCTCTGTAATCGCTAAAAATGAAAAATTCACAGCTTTATCAATTGTTCCAACTACTTTTGGGACTTTGTCAACAGAAATGCATGCAGATGCTGAAATTTAACAGCTTAATTAT